CGCCGCGGCCTCTGTGGACCTACGCCAGGGGCAGACAGGCACAGAAACAATCCTCCGAGGTGTTCTCCTCGGCAGGGCTGGGGTGAGAGTGAGGGTTCACACTTTGTGTGCCTCTGCGCGCACTGGCGTTGATCTGTAGTTCCCATAGCTAATGCCCGATGAAATCGGTTGACCTCATGACTCAAGCTCAAGCGCTAAATCCCCAAACCGTAATCCTAAACCCATCCTGAACCCTCTACAAGCCCAAGATAACCGTAGTTGCAACCCTTGTCCTAAAGCGCTAAGCCCAACCTGAACCCCACTCCCCGAATCCAGAACCCTGCAGCGCCAAACCCGCCCTTAAACCATGAACCATGAACCGTAGTTGCGCCCGCACCATACAGCGATAAAGCGTTGAACCCACCTTGCGCCGCAAGGCGTAGGGGGGTAAAAAACGATTTAGGAGATCAGAAAACGGTTCCTATTTTATAAGCAGAATACAAGGCAAAACACAGCGTAACAACACAAAACATAGACACCTGTCCCAGGGATCCAACAAAATGCTCCAAGCAAAAACTAGAAAGAAGGACGGGAAGAAACAAAGAACGAAAGAAGCAAATAAATAAATAAATAAATGAAGAAATACAGGAATAATAACAAACAACAACAGAAAGAAGGACAGCAATTCAGGCAAAGAAAGACAGAACGAATTAGTTGGATAACGTAGCAAAGACAAAACAAAAAGAACAGTAAACGAAGCAAGCAAGTAAACAAGCAAAGATAACACATCGAAAGAAAGACAACATAAACAAATAATTAAATAAATGTAGAAAGAACTGAAGATTGAAACGGACAGCAATTCAGCGCAGAGAGAAAGAACACAACAAAGACAGAACTAAAGAGCGTCAGGAAGGCATAAAGAGAAAACGACCCAAAGCGAATGAAGTAAGAAAGAAAGAACGACCAGCAACTCAGCATAGAGAATTTAGTCGTATGCTAAGGATCCTAATTAATTACAAATGTACGTGCCGTATTAAAGTTCTAGTTACTTAAGCTGATAGAACCCCTATCATAGCCTGCAAGGACTCCCGAAATGGCAGTTCTCTAAACTATAGGGTCCCTTCTAAGGTCCTTTCTTATAGGGTGTCGCCCTTATATCCTACCTTATAGAGACCCTCTATAAGCTCTTATAGATCCGTTTGAGGAACCCGAAAATGATCCCCATATCATCACTTTTCGCCCAGGCATTGAGCCAGGCGCACCTGCGGAGAGCGCTGCAGGTCGGCGTGGAAGGCGCCGGGCGAAAGGATGGTTTTAGGGTTTAGGGTTAGACGTAACATCGAGGCTTTTATGAGGGTTCAAGGTTCGCTTTAAGGGGCCTGTTTAAGGGTGATTAGATATAACACAGGGGTAGACACACGTTCTAATTCATGCTTAAGGGGTTTGGGTGTAGCTTACGGCACGAGAACTGGGAAGAAGTGATTCAGATTGTTATGTAACAGCCTGCCAGCACAGACTCATCACGTCAGGATCTGGTTCCTTTAGTTTTGGGGTGCATGATAATCCCAATATCATCCCGCAGGTTAACCTGTAGCTCCCCCATGGTAAAGACCTTTAAAGCCTCAACCCTACACCCTCAAGCCTAAGCCGTAGGGTTTCTGATTTTGGCAATCCGCAGCCTCGTCTCAAAGCTTGAAGTTAAACCAAACCCTCACCCTGAACCCTCAAAGGTCAGAGTAGGAATTAAGTTAACTTTAAACTCCTATATCGGTTGTTGAGCCCAGCCGTACCCCGCGAACCCTAGAGTCGCCACGGACTCTGAACCGGCAAGATTCAGGGTGTAGGGTTTAGGGTTTAGGGCTTCAAGACTCAATCCCTACATTGACATTCCCGCCCAGAGGAAAACACCTCAACCCCAAACAGCAAAAGCCCCTCTGCAATCCGTGCTTAGGGGACCCTGTAGGTAGGTTGCAAAGTATGAGCAGGAGAGCCTCTTAGGAAGAAGCGTTCAACCCCTCATTAGGGTTTAGAGGTTTAGGGTTTAGGGTTTAGGTTTAACCCCCAAACCATGAGCCCTCATCATATCCGAAGGCCCTTTGCAGAGCCCAGAGAGCTTCAGACACCGATCCGCCAGACTCCCACAGTTCCCCATCCCCAAGCCCTGACCCCTCGCATCAAAATGGCCCAAAAGCCTTGTATGATAGGGTCTTTGGGCCCGAAAGNNATATGAGTCCTTTGAGAGTAAGGGTATAACGCCCTAAAGCCCTAAGGCGCTAAACGCCAAGCATCCTAAGCTCCAGCTATCAGAGCCGTCGCAGGGATTATCCTTCCCGGAGTCGAATCAGCAGAGGCGCAATTTGGGGGGGGGGGGGATTCAAGGTTTCAGGACTTCGTGCTTAAGAGTGCCGACGTTTGGGGCTTAAGGGCTTCTCAACCATTTAGTAAGTTGGGGGTTTAAGGGTTTGTCAGGTCTTGAGGTTTAAGTTAACGGATTGGGGTTTGTGGAGTTAGGATTGAGTATTCAGGCTTGAAGGGTTTAAGGGTGCACGCGTGTATGGGGTTCAAGTTTCAGGTTCTACTGATTTTTTTAAGGATTTAGGGTCTATAGGTGCTGAATGCATATGCTCATACTGATAATTATTGTAATGCAACAATATACGGTACGAATATACAGCACCAAAGCACAATGTCTTGTGGATATATATATATANNATATCTATATCCATATCTATATCCATATCTATATCCATATGATATCTATATCTAGATCTATTATACTTGATGATTAGGGCCCCAGCATTAGCCGCTTCGACCTGGCAGCTTGTCCATTGCCGCCCACAGGAGGCACATGCTTTGGTGGAGTTGTGCCTCTACCCTTCCAGGACACTGGGCTTTAGGGTCAGGCGCTTTAGGGCCTAGGGAGGGTTCAGGGTTTAGGGTTTAGGGATGGTTTAGTGGCTTCGGGGACGCCGGGGATCGGGACGTTGCACGTACTATCCGACGCAAGGCCTGGAAGCCTAAACCCTTTGGCCTTGTGACACGCATCGAGAACCCCATATCACCTTTGCGGAACCTTATCTGGTAGCGTGTTTATGTTTTTAGTGTTTTGTTTTGTTTCTCGTGGTCCTGGCCATAAAGTTTCATAAATGTCAACTGACCAGAAATTACACCGAGGATATCAGAGAGCAAAGGCAGGGCGCCGGAGCTAGGATCAGTCAGAACACGAGAACTGTAATCTTCCAGGTCTAGGTTTTCAAGGTTCAATTACGGGAATGATGTGTGTGTGTACATTACATATATATATATACACGTATACATACACACACATATATATATATACCCTCTACTTCCAAAGTGTTGGTTTAACGGATGCGTTCAGGTAAAGCACAATATAAACTGAACCCACGCATTTAACTGATATGTAGTTCACTTAGACTTTACACTTTCCAGGGCATTTAGATTAGGGTTCTGGGTCGGTGATCGAGCTAGGGATTGGTGGAACATCCCAAAACTCTCTCTCTCTCTCTCTCTCTCTCACTTCTACATCAGCAGCATCACAGCGGCAGCTGCATCCACCAGATCACGAGCGGGTGCGCCCTTTTCAGCTTCTGCGCTTTGCACACCGGTTGAGGGCTGCCATTCTGTGGGGTCTTCTCAAGGAAGCTAGGCGGTATCTTGCCGTTTTGATCACTGCTTTTTCCAAGCATTTCTTGTCCGCAGATTGAGCGACTCCTTGGATCAGTTTCGGCACAATGCGAATTTAAGGATCTATTCGGTGTGTGGTTCTAATTCGGCCGTGGTGCCTTTTAACCACCTCATCGCATCCTCCTCCCGGAACGTGTGATGCAGTCGGCTGTTCAGTCCTTCGCAGAAGTGGTAACACCGCAGCACGGCCAAGGCAAGAAACATTTGAACCAAGAGTCGCCGTTTCGTCATATCTACTAACTGATGATGCATCGCCTCAGTTGAAGAGCACAAGGTTTGCAAATGGCTGGTAGGAAAGACTTCTTTAGAAATGCTGCCAAAGCTCGTGGACTTTCGGCCGGATATGCCCGTGGAGCTTCTGAAGCCTCTGACATTGTAAACGGTATTCGTTTCTCGACGACTTGTAAACTGCATGCCACAAAATGCAAGCCTCATAGAGAGCTTGCACAGGAGGACGTGGTATCGAAGGTATCTCATTCCATGATTGTAAATTTCATCGGCCTGTGGAGCCGTCCTGCAGTACAAAATCTGAAAACTGTGCCGCCTGATTTGTTTAGCATCCCCTAACCCTAAACTCCTAAACCTTATCGTCTACTACCCCTCTTCTTCCAGCCGTGAAGACCTGAACACCCCAGCCGAGCAACAGGTACATTGGGAAGCGCTCGACAGCATCGAACCATTGGCACAGCGACTGCCTCGAAATCACCGGTGTTTTGTAGGGGTCATAGTTCATTGTTGAGGTGTTACGGCTACTTAGGGTGTTAGGGCACGACCCAAGGAAGGATGTTGGGGTTTTAGGGATGACATAACTTGGGGTACTTGGTATTCTTAGTGGAGTTGATGGATACAACGAGGCAGAAAATGATTCTGATAAATAGCTTCAAAGTATCATTGCCAAACAGATGGGTCCAAAACGTACATCATCGTCATCCGGCCAGGGTTTTCCTTCGTTCTGGTATCGAGCGTGAAGCCATTGCTCAAAATCCCGGTTATTCGTGGTCCGATGAGCAGCAGCCCTCTCCATACAATCACCCAGCCACATAGTGATAACTCGACCATTGTACCCCTTGTGAGCCATATGGGCCCCATGCTTGTCAGGCTTCCAGACCTAGTTTTGGGCACAAGTTTCAGCATCAATGTTTGGGGTATACAGGGTTGGTAGGCTTAAGGCTCAGGCTTTGGGACTTTCAAGGTACGGTGCAAATTATATCTGAGACCTGTAAATGCAGACGAGGGACAAAGTTCGGCACAAATTTGGTTTGAGAACAGTAAATCCCTCGTTGCTTTTGGAATGCCTTGAAATCACGAAAAGCAACGACCAAAAGCTTGTGCAAGGAATTGGCGTTGGGATTCGGGTCGCCAAAGTATCCATTCTCCACCAGAAACATCCTCGATTTGGTTCATGCATAAATTTATGGATCAACCCAGTATTGTCGTCCAATATGTAATATATGCTGAACTCCTTATCTTATGCACAATATAGTGACAAAAGAAATATAAACCCTAAACCCTAAACCCCTAAACCCTTAGTAGTTATTCAAGACAAGGAGCAAAGTTGAACCTGTAGCATCCTGGGCCACTCCCAGGTTCACATTGTGTAGGCTGCAGTGGCAAATCATTCCGTAGTGGAACCCTCGAAGCCCCAGGAAGGGACCTTCAGCACAGCATCACATAGATTTGCGAGAGTACGAATTCTTATCCTGTATAACAGAACAAATGATAAATCGTTGACTGCATTGGTAAAACTCACAAACGTGGTTCTGCCCGATGCCGTGAACCACGAACTCATTATGCGAAAGCTCAGTTTGTGCCCAGGACGGGTTGTCGTGAAGATCGCAGATGGAGTGCAGAGCTTGGTGGTGATTCTCTGCATCACATCTCCAGCAGCACCACCGGGTTTTCCACCATCGTTTAAGCCGCCAGGTTTGATAATGGTATTCCCAGTCGCCCTTTATTTGCGTTACAGCAAACTTTCTACCCAGAGGTCGATTGTCCGGGGTCAGGCCATCGAAGGCGGCATTTAAGGATTCCACGATTGCAAGATACAGAGGGTTGTGGCTCCTCCACCCAAGGCTCAATTCAGTATCTAGGCTCCAAAGTAGCCACTGACTCATCCTCGTTGACTTCGGCCTCCACAAAACAAGGCTCATAAAGCAACCTGTGACCTTGGCTTGATCGTACCCCTGCCCATACCGAGCGGTGTCTCCGTAGAGTGATACAGGTATGTGGGTGCCATCGTAGTCGTCACAACAACACCAATCGCACCAGCGCTTGCAATGGGCCCAGTACTTGGATAGAGTAGCTGCACTAATTTCCAAGCCCAGCTCATCGAAAAGAAAAGCCAATATCCGGTGGGGGAGTAGCACCGGAACTTTGACACACATTTCCTCTTCCGAATCTTCTTTCTTCTTCAGCAAAGTCTCCACATAAACAGGCTCCTGGCACACGACCTATGAAACCACAACTTCGCTTAACATACATAAACAAAAGCTGACCTGAACCCTAAACCCTAACTTTCAAAACCGCTGCCACCCCGAAAGCCAAACCTAGTTATGTTGGGGTTAGACTGAAATTCTAGGGGTTAGGGTGGCGGGTTTTCCAACGACAAAGCACCACAGGGAGCCGAACTGACCGTGCAAAATCGCGAGCACTGTTCTTGCCACTGAAGGTTCCGAGCTTCTTCAGCGGGGCCGGCAGAAGACCAGCTGCATCCTTGGATATGTTTGCATCGAATAACACTACATAGGACTTTGGTTTAGGCTTTGGGTTGATTTGAAGGTTTATGCAGCCGGGCTTCGGTGACGGTGGATTTGGCGCTTCTCATCTCGCGGTTGATGGAGCCCGCCTTCGAAGGATTCGTCAAGTTGGGTTTCAGGGTCCTGTGTGGCTCGTTGATAAAATTTAGGGACCGATCACATCATTCGATTAGGCAAGGAGCAGCTGCAACATTGTCGATCATGTCAAAAACGAACTCCGAAGTACTCGCAATTTCACCTGCGAGCGAAGAGGTCGGTGATACTCCTATGGTGATGCTTGTATCTGTGATTCCTGCATAGGCCGAGCTGGGATGTCTAGGCAGAATTTTCCAAGCGGGCCCGCCAAATCCAGCACGTCTAAGGCACTCGAGGATTTCCCCATCCTGTGCACCAAATGCCAGATAGCAGGGTTCTTTGATGCTTTGTAGCACCAGACACTTCGGAACACCGACATTTGCTTTCATAATGCCGGAAAAAGCATCATCTTCTCCACACAGCAAACCCCCGAGGGCTAGCGCCTACATAGCAATTGAAATATCATTGTATAATGTAGGATTCGCAACTGTGCAACCACGAGCACTCGGGTGCTGTGTCTCGGACGAGCTTCCTACTTATTCGTGAAGCTTTTCTTCTTGCCGAAAGCAAGCACCTGGCTTTGCATCTTCTTCATGAGCTCGTTAGCCCCATCGGTCATCGTCAGCATGTTGTCCTCCTGACAAGATTAGATATCTTAGGGGTCAAGGTTGTTGGGATTTAGGGCTATGGTATGCTGCAAGTTAAAGTTAATGCGAAGACCACTCGCGTTCTCTAGTTTAGCGAGATCCAGTTTAAGCTTAGCCCTAAACCATAAACCCTATAAACCCTAACAAAATCAAGCTCCTGCTCGCTGTCGACAGCAGCTTGCAAGTTTGCTCTGCAGGCCGTGAGCTTTGCAATGCAATCGTCGAGGTCCTTGCGGAAGGCCTTCTGCACCCCTTTGCTCCTTTGCACAAGGGTTTAGGGTTTAGAGTTTGGGGTTCCGGAGGTTAAGTCTATTGCATAGTCGGTTTAAGAGACTCAGTCCCCAACAACCCATCCAACTCAGCAATCTTTGCGTTGTGGTCACGGATCATCTTGCTCAGCTGGCCGATGGCCTAGGAGGGCACACAAACGAGGGGCCTATCACATGGGTTGCTTTCATGAACACTTGCCTTGTTGGCTGCCTGCTTTGTTTTCCTGACCCGGGCTTTCTCCTCTTCAGCCTGCTCCTCCTTCTCGTTCTTCTCCTTCTTATCCTTCTGATTCTTTTTGTGCTTCTTCTTTCCATTCTTCTTACCCTGAGGCTTCACCTTGTTTCCGCCCTTCTTTCCATTGTCCTCTGCGTTTTGGGTCTGGGGTGCAATCAACTGTTGGTTCATGAGATCAAGGTTTCGAGGGTTTAAGGGTTTCAGGGTTTAGGGGCAGGTTAGGATTTTTAGGGGGGCAAAAGGGATTTGGGATTTAGGTCTTGGGTTTGAAAGCGATTACTTCGTTGGTGTGTAAGTGTGCATACCAGCAAGAAAGCACTTAATTATTGCATGCACGAGTATCCATATAATATTAAGTACTATGTAATGTTTGTGTGTATGCATGCATGTATATGTATGTATATTATGTGTATGTGTTATATGTCATGTATGCAATGCATTGTGTGTATGTAAGCAGGTACGAATGCAAGAAATGTAATCTGCACGGGTATTATACTTAGCTCACAACCATTGCACCAATTCGTCACCCACCCACTGATTCATTCATGAAACACTCGCTCACGGCTTCACGGTCCTTGCCACGTTTCGAGTCTGGCTTGTCGTTGTGATCATCGTCCGAGCCTGAGCTGTCGTCGGACTGAGCCCCATCCTTGGCCCGGAACATGTCGGTAATCTCATCCACATCCTCGTCGGTCACTTCCTCATCCATCAAAACGAGGTACTGCACGAGTCCTGCGAAATTCATGAAGTTTCCACATTGGAAAATATTGAACAGCACAGAGCATATGTATGAATGCATGCATTGGTACACTTCCCTCGGCTCCTGGGCAGTCTGGGTGCTTTCGCATCTCCGTCTTGCGTAGGTGCTCGTCGGTCTCCTTCCGGGCAATAATGCTGTCCACGATTTTCGTGTCACCGAAGTGGTTGATCAGCTGGGATCGTGTCTGCCACCGGCGAATTCCGCGTCGGCCGTTTCGGGTGATGGACTTAATGGTCTTCAAGATCATCGATTTCGTCCAGTCTCCCTCCGTCTGGAGGAAGTCCTCGTACAAACTGCTCATCTTGTTCTTGCCTGAGTATCGATCGTACATTCACGTGTGTCCAAGAAAAGCTGCGATCACTAAGTGCAAGCATGGCACAGTACTTCGACCGATCGAATGCCGACTTGATCTCGGGGGGGTGTTGCGGCCTAGGTAGTATGGAGCACACATGTCATGATACATGTATATAACATATAATGTACATGCATACAAATTGCAGTGTGGGTTGCAACATGAACACATAATCCTGACATCTTGCATTCACTTCGAAAACCATGAATGAGTCAAGTGGCCGTGCACATTTCGGTAAAACCTCATGTACATCTTGTGTGCAGTCTTCTTCTTCTCCTCTAGGCTCTGCTCCTCCTTGGATTCATCCTCCTTGCCCTGCTTCTTTTTGTCAGGGGATGGAGGCTGCTTGCTTGTGGATTTCTTGGGGCTGGGCATAGGATCCTTGCTGGAGGTGGCTGTCCTGTGATCCTCCTGCGCTTTCCTCGTGCGGGGGCTGTCGGCACTGGAGTGCTTCTTGGCCTTGGGTGGGCTTGGGGACTCGCTTTCAACGTCCTCTGCTTTGCGTTTCTTTCCAGAGTCCTTCTTGGGCTTGGTCGGGGCCTCGCTTTCCTGAGCTGTGGCTTTCTTTCCAGAGTCCTTCTTGGGCTTGGTCGGGGCCTCGCTTTCCTCAGCTTTGCCTTCCTTTCTAGAGTCCTTCGTGGGCTTCGTTGGGGCCTCGCTTTCCTCAGCTTTGCCTTTCTTTCCAGAGTCCTGGGCCTCGCTTTCCTTAGCTTTGCCTTTCTTTCCAGAGTCCTTCATGGACTTGGTTGGGGCCTCGCTTTCATCGTGCTCAGCTGTGCCTTTCTTCTTGGCAACGGATTTAGCGGCACCCTTTGCTTTGGCCTTTGCTTTTCCTCTAGTGGTTGAGGCTTTGGTGGAGGCTGGGCTGCTGGTGTTGGCTTCGTCTTTGGCATCGGGGTCTTGCGTGTTTTGGCTGTCATCCGCCGCCTGAAAATCTTGCTCCAGCTTCTTCTGTGTCGTCTTCGCACGATGCTGTCTCTGTGAATCAGACTCTTGATCCACTGATTGTGGCCTCCTCAGAGCATTTCTGACTTTCTTAGAAAGAGACCCTGATAAATCATCGGTGCCGGCCCGCTTCGGTTTCGGCGGCGGCGTCTCCACGACTACTGTCTGTGCAGAGTCGAGTCTGAGCGGCTCTTTCCCGGCCTTACCCGATTGAAAAGCTCTCTTTCCAGGCGGCGTGTCTTCATACTCTGGGAAGGGATTCTGGGCATCCTCTTTGCTGCTGTCGTAGGACCTGAGCACGATCATCATATTTCGTGTTTGCACAGGAACACACAAACTTGCTTTCGGAGCATGCCAGTGCATACACCAGAGGATCCCACCATTTCCGGGAAAGTGGCGAGGGTATGTCTTCGATCCTGCTCTGCCTCTTTCGGGCCTGCTCCAAAATCTTCGCCACGTCGATAGCGACCGGCATCAGATCGATAACACACCAGGCTTCTACAACAGAAACCTACAAACGGCAAGAACAGCCTGTGTGATATGAAAGCAAACGGGAATTGAGATTGCGTGCAGACATGCGGGAGCACTTCACGGACACAGCAGTACGCGTGTTAGTTGCACGTAGTTTTGTGATTTTGGGAGGGCACGAGGTTTCACAGTTTTATGGGTGCTTTTCACGGTTTTCACGGTGCTTTTCACGCGGTTTTCACGCTGGTTTCACGCTGTTTTCACGCCTGACTTTTTTCGTGAGTTCGATCAACTGAGCACAGACCTTGTGGCCTAAGTATGTCGGCACTACCAAGTGGCTGGTGTCGCAGCCACGGAATCATCTACTGCTTGCACAACGACAAACTCATTGACAGCCTAGACCCATGCAGGCTTCGATTAAGGATGGATGATCCCGAAGTAGAACAACCTTTTGATATTGTAGTGGTGTGTAGACAGCAAGCACGTCGTATTATGGAAAATCAAAGGCTGGCACATATCGACCGGCCTCGATTTCTTTCACAAGAAACAGAAAGACCGGCTCGAGATTCGCATGCTTCCAATGAAACGGCGGCTGCACCGTTGGGAGCTTGATCGCTGCAGCCTTCAAGGCCACACTGCGTGCACAGACCCCCGGGGAAACCACTGACAGAAGTATATATATTATAATATGCAACCAAGCCCAGCCTCGGAAAGCTTCTTCACACCCACGGACAGGTGACACTGGTCGCTGTTCTAGGCACCAAAACACACACACACATACATGGGAAGCTAGATCATACAACTCCAGAGCAGGACACCAGACCTGGCAATGCATGCAAGAAGCCAGCACTTCCATATGGTGACCAGCGATCGCTTCCCCAAAGCCGGCCGGGTACGTCTGGGTGTTTTTCAACTTCGGCAGTCCTTGCCTCAACCAAGCAACAGCAGCAAATTGCATTTCGAGCACACACGGACACCTCACTCCCCAACACACTCGCTCCATCGTTCCCTCCTAGCATCCGCGCAGACAGAGACACACCCACACAGACACCACGCACAGTAGACTCATATATTCACGTATTGTGATATAATAGTATAGAACTCTCACACACTCACACTCACTTTACTAGTCTCCCCCACCCACCCCAACCACCCAACCACCCAAGCCCACCCACCCACCCACCCACCCACCTCACCGAGGTCTTTTTCTTTTGTTTGGAAGACATGTATAAATATCATGTATGCATGCATAGTATGCATGTGCATGCCAACACAATCCCACAATCTCTCCTTTCAGGGTAATTGTTCATGCATCACAGACAGGATCTGAGGCAGGGTCACGACTTTCTTTCCAGTGCCGGGGTGTTTCCCATTCTTGTAGAGACCTTTCGAAGAAAGCTTCAGCTCTTTCTTCTTGGCCTTCGTGAGGCGCTGCTTCATCAACGGCAGCCACGGCCTCACAGAGTGGGGTTTATAGGGTTTAGGGTTTAAGTTTAGGTTTAGGGTTTAGTCGAAAATAAGACCCAGACGGGGTGCCCACCATGACAGTAAGCTTGGGCGATCGGTGACCGTAGGTCCCCATCCAACTTAGTCGTCATCATAGTGCTTGGATTACTAGATGCCACACTTCTTGTGCAATAGATTGTGCCTAAGATCCGGACAACCGCACAGTCGTCATTGGTATGGAGGCACCGTAGCATTCTTCAACGAATCGCAAGTACGGGAATTCAAGGAATAAAGAGCTCGAAGGTTGCTCTATCGTCCAGTGCACCGATCGCATGCATGCCAGCATGCACAGGAGGATCGTCCGAGTAGCCAACCTTAGTGGGGAGTGTTCTATTTCGGGTGGTTACAAAGTGGCGACCTAGTACTGCTCAGCTCATGCTAAAGTAATGCCAGAAAGCTCGTTGGCCCTCCTCACGTAGATGTACTTGGTTGTTCCGAATATACAAGCATTTCTCCCCGACGTTGCACGGTTCATGAAAACCCACGAATTGCATGGCAACCCGCAGGCCAAAAGGCCTGCCCTGCGAAGCCGTAGCACTTTGTTCAGCGCTCGTACCAGGCCGAGCCTCAGAACCGGGGCACCCAAACCAGGACATCACCATGAACACCTGTGGCCTGTGTGCTCTGGGCCCTGAAATAAGACCCCGGCACGGTCAGCAGATCGTCCTCTTCCCTTGCACTCACATCGAAGTAGTCCCTGGGCCATGCATGATCTTCCATGAATCATTGACAGGCTACTCTCATTGAAAGGCGACTCGGATGCTTCAAGGTGTCCCCTAAAGGCTGAGGTCCCCACGACTTGAAGCCACGTACATCTTGGTAGCCGGGCAAGCAATGTAGATTCCCAAAGTACTAGCTGAAGTAAATTCTTTCCAAAACTAAAACCCATATGCATAATCACCCATTGCCCTAGCGACTAAGTTGACTGAAGTAGGCTTTGCACAGATCAAGACGGACAGGCATGCTGCTTCAGTCATGCAAGAACAGGCCAACTGTAAGACCACTGCTGAAGGCGCTTTCGATGGATCTCTTCCCGGCGAAGAGGTCCAAGCAGTACAAATCCTAGGCATCACAAGTAGCCCAAGACCAAAGGTAAAGGAATCACCTCTGAGGTTTCAGCCCGAACCGCATTAGATCCGGCGGCATTCTGGGCCACGAAGTCGATCAGGTGTAACCTCAAATGAAAGGGGTTTGTTTTGCGGGTTTAGGACTTTAGCTTTTTGGAAGGGGGTGGTGATGTAATTATATAGGGTTTTTTCTGATGTCTTTGTTGAAGGGATAGTTCTTGGCTCCCAGTGCAGCTAAGGCCAGTGGGTTTTAGTTTTGGTATATTTTAGCTAGGTACTAGTTTCGGACTTGGGGCTTCGGGGTGTTGAGGTAATTCTGAGCAAAGCTGCATGATGCTTGGAAAGCCAGCATAGGCCAATGCCAGCAAGCAGTCACGAGAGAGGGCCAGGTCGTTTAACATCCAAGTAGCCATGCCTCTGGCCTCTGTGATAGAAGCATTGAGCCTTACACCTGAAAAGGAATAGAACGAGCCCTCGAGATGCATGCGACGAATACCAGCAACAAGTCGGAAGCATTAAGCCCTTTTGCTCTTCGGGAGCGAGGCGATCGCTTCTGCCGGTGTTCCCAGAACCTTTGGATTCATAGCAGAAGACAAGAACGCCTAGCAATTTTCAACGACTGTTCAGATGCCTCGTGTCAGGGGGTCCAGCCAGCCGCCATTAGAGCAGCCTTCCACCTCAAAGCATTGCAAAACTACTCACGTACCCGAGCTCAAACTGTATTTAGATTAGCCCAATCCAAAGCGAACTTTGGGTGTCAGGCCCAGCTTCCACATTCTCGAAGCGGTTCCATCCCATCGTGAGGCCGTCTTTCTGGTTAATCTCGGCGTGGATTGGATTTCGGAGAAGGGACACTGCAGGACTTCTCGGTAGTTGGGTGCCCGGCAGTGAAGTCCGTGTTGTACTTGCTGTTCAGTCGGGGTATTCGTTCAGGGACGGCACTGGACACGTACCAGTGGCCGGAAGACACTGTGAACCTGGCTTGAAATTAAGAATGTGCGGTTTAGGGTTTAGGGTTTAGGTAGTAGAAATCAATTGTCAAACAACAAGCTGAGGAATGAACCGCAATCCAATGGTCGACTTGTGGTTCGGCTTTCGCAGAGTCCAATACCTCATGTAAAAGCGCTTCGAGTCTTGAAATACGAATACCGAACTAACTTGAATCAGTTTGTTCCGAGTGCCCTACATTTGTGATCCGTTTAGCACATTTTCCTCCACCTCAAAACTGCTGTCCCTCTTCGCCAGCTCTCGGAACTTTGGGCCCCAGTGTGCTTTGACCTGCCAGAGTACATTCGTGGAAACCCTCTTAAGAGACGATTTCAATCGAGCTTAGCAACGAACCGACATGTACCAAATATCGAAGGCCCCAAGCCCTAGCCCCTTGAAGCCAGACACCCCGGTAAACAAAGCAACACCCCAACGGCCTCGCCAGTAATTCTTCAATCCCTGAACCTTTGCAGCCCCTCAAGCAGCACCCCAGCAACCTTGTTGCTCTGCTGGTCCTGGGGTTGTTCTTCGGCATTCTGCTCTTCATCATCTTCCTCCTCCTCTTCCTCCTGCTCCTCCCCACCATCATCCTCGCCCTCCTGCTTGGCGCTTTTGGCCGAGGCAGCTGGCCTTTTCATCACATCATCCTCTTTGTCTTCCTCCTCTTCCTCTTCCTCTTCCTCACACTCCTTTCCCATTTCATCATCATCATCGCCCTCCTGCTTGGAGTCTTTGGCCGCAGCTGGCCTTTTCATCACGTCATCCTTTTTCTCTTCCTCTTCCTCTTCCTCTTCCTCTCCCTCTTCTCCACTCTCTTTTCCCATTTCATCATCATCATCATCATCTCGCCCCTCCACTGGGGCCTGCTTGGCCTTTTTCACCGAGGCTTCAGATTCACGGGCAGCCGGCCTTTTCATCACAACCTCTTTCTTTTTTTTCCCCTTCCCCCGCCCTTTCCCACGGCCCCTGCCTCTCCCTTTCCCCGGGATGGAATCAGGGGAGCGAGGCTCCTCGTCCGCCTCTGGGCCTGGCAGCAGATTGCTCAAGAGACTCTTTTTGTTTCATAAGGGGCTTCATGCACTCACGTAAAATAATGATTGGGCCTCCAGTGCCAAGTTTGCATCATCCTTCTGCGTAGCTTCTAGCATGGCTTCGGCCTTGGCAGCCACTTTAGAGTCAATCTTCGGCGTGGGGTCTTTTCTTTTTTTGGCTTCTTCATCCTAGCACATCAGAAGTTAAGACAAATCAGAAGTCTTGTACAATCCATCACATCGACTCCATCGAACGAAGGTCCTTGTAAGTACCCCGCTCTCCATCTTGCTCCGAAGCAACATCTTCGCCATGATCTTCTTCGTCTTCTTCTGCCGGCTCCTCCTCCTCTCCCTCTGGCTGGCAGGCAGCATCCTGGCCAGCTTCATCGTCCTTGCGGCGAGCAGCAGCGGCAGCAGCAGCAACAGCAAAGTATAAGGTGATTACGGGGGCTGTAACAGCACGACTTAATGCTACAAAGCTCTCTAAACCCCTCGCCTGCAACCAGACCCCTAAGTCTCAGGGCTTCAAAGGATTAGCAATATAAGAAGAGTTTAGGGTTTTTAGGTTTAAGTTTACAGTTTAGGGTTTCGTACTTGGGTTATTAGTTATTACAAAGACGGAACGAACCCAGCAAGTCTAGAGTGGCTGTGGTCGATTAAAAGTCGAGAGCTGTATTATGTATGCCCTATATGTATTATATGATATTTTGTATCGCTTGAAGATGACTCATATGACCAACGAGTCCTGCTTTTGGCGACGGGTGCAATGTAAAGCTTGGGTTGGGGGCTTTAGGCTTGTATTCGCAGACACGAATCTTTCCAATACAATGGCAAAACCCGACACCCCTGCTGCCTCACATATCGATCAAAAATCCAAATCAACCATTAAAACCCTAAGCGCTTAGAAACACTCTTGAATTAGTATTTAGGAGCCCTTTGGAAGTCCGCTCAGCCCTAGCAAGCCCCAAACCTTAAATGCACCCATCGCATAGGGTAAACCTCCATCCTAAGTCGCACCCGAAAGCCCAAAGAGCTAGCCCCAGAGCCAGCCAATCCACCTCCGGCTCAATCGTTGTCGTTGTGTCGGGTCGAGCCTCCTGCAGGAAGTGCAGGCGAAGGTTTGTTGATTTGAGTTTGCTAAAAAGGTTGCCATGATGGGCTCCTGCTTTCGTGCTTGGATGATTTGCTTCAGTGCTGCCATTCTCTCGTGGGGCTCGCCTTTCCTCTTCAAGCAGAATAGCTCTACTCCAAATCCCAAACATACACACACGGAAATCGAATGCCTCGCTGCGGGGTTCCTCTGAGCCCGCTCGCATGCATACGATGCGAAAGATCGTAGAAGAGCCGCTTCGTCCTGGCACCAAACCTCGGCGTCAAGAGTCGATGAATGTTGGGGTTATTTGGGATAGGTTTCTCAGGATCCTGCGGTTTTGACATCTTTAGAGACAGGATCGTTGAGGCGAGAGTGATCTCCCGCCCAAAGGATTGCTGCCTGCAACAATGGGAGCGAACGATGACTCATGAACCAGTCGTTTCAACTGAAGAACAACGAAGAATGCTTCCGGTTTCGGCCTCAGCTTCTTTCTTTGTCGGGAGATCACCGGCAAAGGAGGAGCAGTAGGCGGCGAGGATCGGGAAGTTGTGCTCGCCGGTCACCTGCTCCGGGATATCATTGGGCATGTGGTTTCTCAGTTCCGAAAACTATCTCTCGAAGCCCACCTGGTCTTCGGAAACCGTTCGGCTCGTTACATCCAATAACCGGTACAGAAAGGGTTCCTGCACGGAAGGCTTTTTATATTCCAAGTGACTGACTATTATGTCACATGCGCACTTATGTGCCTCTGGCTCGCCCTTTTGCTTCTTTGGCCTTGATCGCTTCAGGCTTTCAATTCTTTGATTCACGTACCCTGGCTTCAGGATGTCCTTCAGGAGCTCCTGAACGGTTCAAGGCTATTTTATAGTGTTTCACGCGCATCGCTTACATGATGTTTCAGTCCTTGAGGAGTGCTAATCTTCGTGGATTGGGTCGCGAGTCCGGCATAGCTCGCTCGAACAGAACAGCCGCTGCAATCAAGGACAAAACGTCTCTTTGTTTGACTCCCTCTGCAGGCAAAAACACCGGAAGGCAGGAGGAAGCACCGCTTTGATCAAAATCTCCTTGTTCCGAAAGACCTGAGCCAAGGAGGATGCAGCTTCGGGTGTTCGATGTTGGTAGTATGGGGCCCTGGCGACGGTCTAAGGCTTTGCTTGCTCGAACCTTCGGCATTGCGAAGACCTCGAAAGAAATTATGTTTGCCACTTCCACAGCCGAAAACTCGAAATGATTTCTCCCGAGAAGCGGACGAGCAGGATCGCCCAGAACAAAAGGGGCACCATGAATTCCAAAGACCCGCTGTCGTTGCACGATAGCACTGATGAGGCTGTCAGCCTAACCGCACATACCCAAGTGATGTCTCGTTTTTGAACCATTCGGACCCCGTGTTGTGTATGTCGTGGCCACTTGATCCATGCTGAGCGATCAGATCACGTCTGCATTTCATGCAACAACATAAGCCCACTAGTTTCACGGGTGCGTTTAGAACCACCCAGTTTAACGGAGCCGCGGAAGCCCAGGGTATATATATATATATCAGACATACATACTTTCAGACAAACACACACACACACACACAAAAAACAAACGGACCTTACCTTTGCCTTGCAGCTACATGTGCTGACTGCCGACAGTAACCATTGCAATCATAAGATTTGTGCATAGGTACTTGTAGATGCCCGTATATGTGTAAGTATGTATGTACATGTCTATATATATATATACACACACACTTACACAAAGGCAACATGAATCTGCTATAATTACGTCAGGCGGAATCTGGTGATTGCTAATGAACTATCCCGCTTCACTTTTCCATTATCCAACCAAGTGCGTGCATTAGTGTATTATCGATACAAACATAGGCGAGGTAGTTCTTCATCTGAAGTCGAAGCGTTTCAGTGATCTATAGGACAAGCATCCCCGGGCAAGAATCAAGAGATCCTCTGCTCCTGACGGTACGTACGAACACTCAGCCATCCCCCATTGAAGGAGATTTTAAGCGAGCTCGTGTATCTCCCGAAAAGGAAACTTAAAAGCTCTTGTCATGCCACTAGGAAGTGAGGGATCCCCCTTCAGTTGTGAAAAAACACAGGAAGGCTCCTTTTCATCTGCAGGAAGCAGGACAGTTTTGTCGGCCGAGACACATGACTTTTATTGCGGTAGAACGGTGTTCCGGTTGGTTTTTAGACAGGATGCTCGCAATTTTAGGCTCACACTTGTGACGGTTGAGCCTCCAAAAGCCGATTCCAATCATTAAGGCCCCCTTCCGATGTGGTTCCTCGTCTAGGCAGTTTTCGACCAGTGGTTTGTTTTGCGTTAGTAAGCTCCAGATTGAAAGGAGACCAAACTGGTACTACTTCGAAGTTAGGGTTGGGATCCTAGACATAAACAGCAAGGTCGGCAACAGAAAGGGGCGACTAAGGGTCTAGGTACGTAAACCGCAAACCTTGGAAGCCCGAAGCCTTAAGCTAAGCTAAGCCCAAACCCTACGTCTGAACAAGCTCCGACGTCTAAAGCCGAAAGCCATGAACTCCCAACGCCTAGGCCCTAATCCCCCCACACAGCCCATCTTCGCAGGAATCTTCGAGAGGACAGCCACGCAACCGAGGCAAGAGTTTGTTTGGGGAGGCTTTGGGGACAGACTTCCAGCAATGTGGGGTGACAGGTTGTATCAAAGGCTAGAAGTATGGGCCCCTACCATGGGCCCTTAGGCCTTTTCGGGGGATTCTAGGGACCCTTTGAGGGTACATGTAGGGAGCAACCTTAGGTTCTAACTTCAAGAGGTAGTATGCCCCTGGATCGTCTTCCCTTTACCCATAGGCTCCATGGTAGTTCCCTTTTGTGGTTCATACTTAGGATCCTATAAGGTAACCTCAAAAAGAACGGAACTACTTTGGAGCCTATGGGTAACCCATGAAAGCCCACAGAACCCTAAACCCGAAACCCTTTATGTTCCGGAACTCCCAAGTACCCGCACCCTCCCGACGGAGCCGAACCAGACCCTGGTTCGGGAAGCCCTTCGTCTGCTCAAAAGCCCGTGGGTTTAGGGTTTAGGGGTTTAGGGGTTTCGGGGTTTAGGGTTTAGGGTTTATAGGGGTTAGGGTTTATCGGGTTTATAGGGTTTAGGGTTTAGGCGGTTTTCAGTGTCCAAGTGCCCAGACAGCAAGTTTCTACGTTGTGGCACAGCCACCCTTCAGAGTGCAGTAGTTGCGGCCTAACGGCCCTATAAAGCTTAACCCATACGCCCGTAGTTCCTTTTTGGGATTACCATCTAGGATTCTATCTATAAACCACAAAAAGGAACTACTTAGGGGCCTATGGGAAACCCCGAAACCTGAAGTTTGGAGACTTGCCCCCGCGAGGAACCGCACCTCGCAGCGGGACGTCCACTCCAAAGCGAAAGCTCAAAGATCCGAAACCCTAAACCACCCCTATAAGCCCCGAAATCCGAAATTAGGGGTTTAGGGCCGTTTAGGGTTTTGGGGCTTGGAGGGTTTATAGGGGTTTAGGGCTAAGTTCAAGAGCAACGCCCGAAATCCGGGCCCTGAGCCCTAAATCCGAGACCCTACACGCCAGGCGCGGCTGAAGAATCAGCCTTTCCGCCGGATGGACTTCAGCTTTGCCTGGGCCCCGATTCTTCAGGTGTTGTCGGAGTTGGCGGGTATTTTCCGAGATCTCTTTGCTTTTAATTGTTTTTCGTGTTAGTGTACGGTTTTGATGTATTTGAGGCCAAAGTTCGCTTTTGCGTTTTTGGTGGATTTGCTTTGCATGTGTTCTTGGTCGCTGTTAT